AGCTGGGGCCCATTGACCACCAGCAGGCTTTTGGCTTTGCTCCGGCCTCCAGGCGGTATGGCAGCGCCTCCCAACCCGGAACCCTTCAGGCCGGTGGACTTTCACTCCCAGAACCTCCCAGCCAGCCACGTTGAAGTCCATACATCTTCAAGGCGGCGGGGGGGGGGGGGGTCAGACCCATGGCCCACTCAAGGTGGCCTCCGACTCCTTCCCCTCTGGAAGAGGCCCCTTCTCCAGTCCTCTCTCTGTCCAGGAAGAGACTGGAAGCGTTGAGGACGAGGTCACCTCTGGGGGCTTCGGTTATTTAGGGCTGTGCTCCTGGGGGAGGAGGGAGTCCCGCTGCAGGGCGAATTGGGGGCAGGATGGACCAGGAGCAGCAGAGCCCCCAACGGGGTGGGCGGGAAGGTTATGAAGGCTACGTTCCTTCCCGGCTTAGAAGGAAGGAAGCAGGGACCCTCCCCGCAAATCCCAGGCAGAGCCAGAACCCCGCAACTGCTGCAGCCCTCTCGGAGTTCTCCCTTGGACCACCAGCTTCCACAGCCCAGCAGTTCCATGCTCAGCCGGCAGAGGGAGTGGCCATCCTGGCATCGCTCTGCAGGGCTGGAGGGCACCAACTCAATGTCAGGGAAGCCTATCCTCTGCTCCCCCCCCCCCAAAGGTTGTCTGGGGACAGAGCGACTCAGGTGGGCCAGGGTCGCTTCTCTCTCCCCACAATGCAGCTCGCAGGCCTGCACCTTGGTCCGCCCCCCCCCCCCCGCCGGGGCGAATGGGGAAACAGGATCACCACCCCCCTTTCCACTCAGCCCCACAGCGCAAAACCTGCCTCTTGCTGGGAATCAGACTGAGCACGTGGGTGCAGCCAGGGATCTGCCGGCCAACCCGCACTTCCAGTCAGCAAGAGGAAGCAGCTCCAGCCCCAGCTGCTGCTGCTGCCATGAGGGCAAGGGGCTCTGAGGGTCCCACCACCCCTGCTCCAGACGGGGCCCCTGGGGGGGCAGGTTCAGCCCAGCAACAGAGAGGGGAAGGAGGAGAGCAGCCAGCCAGGCCCCCCCATATGGGTCCACAGAGCCCAGCTGGGACCGGCCTGCAGGGAAACCACCGTCTGAGGCAGCAGGCCAAGGCCCGACTGGGCGGGGCAGGTCTTGGGCAAAGCAGCCGCTGCCGACCATTTGCAGCTGTCCAAGGAGGCCCGTCTTGGGCGGCAGGAGAGGCCTGGAAGTTCCCAGGGGCTCCGGAGAAGGACAGGCCAGCAGGCCGCCTTACCTGTCAGGGACCTGGTCCAACTGCCGGCCGGGGGCTGTATCCATCCATCCATCCGCAGGCCGGCCGGCCGGCGGGCCCTGGGCGTGTGCAGCTACGGCCAACAGTTCTTCAACTGGCAGCTTTAGTTGCTGGAGGGGACGTAAAGCGTGCCACTGAAGAACTGCTGCGGGTAGCCAAGGGGGCCGGAGCGCCAGGCTGGGGAAGGGGCCAGAAGAGAGGGGCGCCGTTAGAGCGGAGGGCAGGGCCGGTCTCGCCGCCCCACCCGGCAGGAACCCCAGCGCCGCTTCCGCCCCAGGCGCCGGCCATCGCGTGAGTCATCGCAGCCCCGTCCGGCGGCGGCGGCGGCGGGCAACGGGGAGGGGAGCCCCGCCAACCCCGACGCGCATTCCCCGCGCGCCTGCTCCGGATGCTCCGCATTCCAGCCGCCTCACGGCCCCTCCGGCGCCGCTGAACTTCGGCCCAAGGACGGGCGGGCGCCCCGCCCCGCCCCGCCCGCCGCCGGCCGCGAGCAGGCATGAATCAGCAGCAGGGGCGTCCCGGCCGCGGCCACCGACAGGCGCGGCGGACGGCGGCTGCCAAGTCCCCGGCCTGGTGCGGCCGCAAGTTTCTTCGTGGCGGCGGGCGGCGCGCTGCTTTCCCTCGGAGGACGGGCCGGGCCGCCGACCCCGCGCCCCGGCCGGGCTGCAAGCGGGAGCCCCGCGGGTCTCCCCGAGCGCCCCGCCCTCCCCGGCGCCCCGGTCGGGCAGGGGGCTCCGCGGCGTCGGCCGCCGGGAGAGGCGGAAGGTGACCCGGCCGAGGGCGCCACCCCCTCGGCGCCCCGCCGTGGCCCCGGGCTGCCCAGCTGCCGCCACCCGCCGGCCCCCTGCCGGAGGAGGAGGAGGCGGCTCTGCCGGGACGGCCGGTCGTTCGGTCCGCCAGCGCCGCCGCCACGCTCGCTCCCCGGCTGCCGCTGCTGCCTCTGATCAGCTGGCCGCCTCGCCTGCCACCCAATCGCCGCCCGGCCGCTCCGCCCTCGGATTGGCGGGCAGACCGGCCAATGGGTCGAGGCGGAGGCGGTTCCGTCCAGCCCCGCCGCGCGAAAGCAGCCAATGCGCGAATGCGGCCGCGGCGATTGACGTGCCGGCCTCCGGGCGGGGCCTTGGCAAGAGCCGCCGGCCCGACCCGCGGCGGGGAGCCCTTTCCTTTCCTTGGCACGGCGTGGAGGAGACTGCCGGGAAATGTAGTTTCGTCCCCGCCTTGCGCCCTCCCGTCATGCCCAGCGTCACTGTGAGTTGGCATTTTCTTCCATCCGGGAGGGGCCTTAAAGGGGCGAGATCCCCCCTGATTCTCGTAGACGCCTCCTCACCCGCGGGGCGCTGCCGGGGCCCCCCGAGTCGCACGGCGCGGCCCAGAAAGTCAAGCGGGTCAGGCGCCGGCCCCCCATTGCGCGCGCCAGGAAAGGTCCCGGGCGCCCCCGCGCCACTCCCCTTCGCGCGCACTGCAGCTTTAAGAATTCCACTTCGGTGACGTAGGAAGATTCCGAGAAGTAGTTGCAAAGTGCGGGACCCAATCGGAAGTGGAGCTGTCCTCGGCCGCAGGCCAATCAGGGCCCCCGAGGGGCGTGGCCGAGAGAACTGAGTTGAACCCGGTGACTTGGCAATCCTAGCGGTGCGGACGATGACTGCGCAGATTGCTTAAAGGGCCAGCGCCGCTCTTGCGCCCGATCCCGCGCGCCGAGTGCCCCCTCCCCTCCGGACAAGAATCAGCCACGGGCGGCTGGTTGGGCGCCACTCGTGACGGAAAGGAGCGTCTTGCCCTCCCTCGCGCCCCGCCTGCCCCGACCGGGTGGACGAAGGAGCTGGGCGGCGTCCGGTTGGAGCGGAGCAGCGGGGTTCGCCTCGCTTAACGCCCGTGGCGGACTCTGGAGCTGTCCTCGCACGGCTCATCTGGGCCTCCGCAGAGCGCACGCAGAGAATATGCCCGTCCATTGGACCGTAAGGACAGGCGAGTGGCATGGTCGCAACAAACCGACAACCCCAGACTGCCGAGTCCTGGGGTTGGAAGGGGACCTCCGAGGAACCTTCCATTCCGCCAGTTCATTAATGGAGAGGTGGAGTAATCCCCAAGGGAGCTGGGCGGTGAAGAAATACAAAATATAAATAAACAAATCCCATGAACAACCCGGGATGGGTGGCAGCTTCCCTGGAAGGAGAGTGGGGGCAGGAAACGAAGAAAAGATCTGGGTGAAAGTAGCAGGATTGTGTGCAAGGAAACAAATGCAATGCTTTTCTGTTGAGTCACAAAACCTGGGGCCACAGCAGTGCCACACAGAGTATCTGGGTCACTTATGAAAACGATCTTGATGTGTTGATCTGACACAGAAAAGAGTTGCAAGAAAACAAATGCGTTTTATTTGTAACGTTGATATAGCCGACCCTCTTATACCAAACTCTGGGGTGCTCCCAACTTTCAGCCCTCATTAATATTCAAAAGATGGGAAGTCATAGATGTGCCACCTACTCCAGGTTTCTCAACCTTGGCCACTTTTAAGGTGTGTGGACTTCAACTCCCGGAATTCCCCAGCCACCTCTACACTGGTGGGAAATTCTGGGAGTTGAAGTCCACACATCTTAAAGTGGCTGAGATTTGAGTAGCATTGACCCATTGCATTTATGAGACTCCAAACTGAAATATTATTTCTTATATGGCCTGAGGCCCAGCATCTCTGCCGTTCACAGATGAAAACACCCAGAGCAATAAAATAACCCAATGAAGAAGCAAAAAAAGATGGCACAAATCAGACAACCAGAGAAAACCCATATTGGATCACGCTTGCCAAAGGAGGCCTGGCGGGTCTTCAAGGCTCTCTGAAATGCCAGCGGGACAGGGGGCGCCACCCAGGGCAGTGGACATCCCATCTGGAGGAATACGACGAGGCGAGGGAGGCTGGGCAGGAGCCCCGGGACAGCTGCCTTTCCCAGCTGGTGCTTGTTGAGGCCAAAGGCTCTGGGCCCAGAGCGATGTCTGGCCACCCACCCACCCACCCACCTTCCCATAGCAGAAGCCAAGGTTGGCCATGGGTCCACCAGCCTTCCTCCCCATTGGGCCTGAGCCCTGCCCATGCAGTTCTGGGGCTGAGGCCAAGTGCTCTGGGAAAGGGCAGGCTGACTTCGGTACCCTTCTTGCTCACCTCTCCCGCTCTCTCCGGACTCCAAGCTGAGCCAGGGCAGGAGAATGCCACCTACTTGCCACCTCCCTCCGAGTAGGTGGGCAGATGCCAGTTGGGCCCCAGGGTTTTGCCATAGAGGTTGGAGATGGCGTTCAGCTGGCCAAAGCCCTGGGCAGCCAATCTGACCAGTCCGGGGAGGAGGAGGCCCTTTCCAAGTTGGAACAGCTTCTTCCCGCTCCCCCTCCCTCCCCCCACAGTGCCTTCCAAATTGGGGTGGGCGGGCAAAGGCAGTTGCAGCGGCTGGGGGGGGGGTTATGTC